ACGCACAGGTTGTACAGCCTGAAAATGAGGTAGGAATTGACGATGCAGGCGATCAGCGTGTTCACCAAGCTGGCCATGGGGAGCTGGGTGCGTCACGTCGGTTTAGTGCGCAGAAATAGATATCCAGACAATCAAGCCGACGCACCGACCAGAACTGCGGACGGTTGAGAATAAGAAACCTGTCAGAAAGAAAGGTACGCACAATCGTTGTCAGCCCTTCTATCTGTCCCCAGAATGTGACGGCGGGCTGAAGGGCGAGGAGCATAAGTACGCGTTTAAAAGGAGGATATACGGACGCACATAATATATGGTCGCATAATCCGCGGCAAGGGCGGCGGCGCAGAGGGCAAGCACGAGGCTTACGAGGGCCTTGCGGTGCAACGGGTCGTCCGGGAACGAGGTGAAATAGGTGTAGGCCTGAACAATGACGACACCAGTGAGGATTGAGGCGCCCCAGGTACCGAGGAGCATCGCGCTACAAAAACATCAGCAAAACGAAGTATGGCAAGAAAATGACGGAGGGCAGACATACCCGAGGATGGGGTCCAACGCTGACATGAGTGAGAGTGTAAGTAAGGGGCGGAGAGACTGAAGGTTGACGGCGCCAAGAACATAATAAGCTTTATACTTACGAACTGTATTGATCGAGGCCAGAGCTAGCAAGTGTATTGCCGCCTCCTTTTCGCAAGGAGTATGTGTGTACAGGAGCTGCCAACATGCCGAAAGGGGTAGAGGGGCAAGGGCAGCCGCAGCGAGCACTCTGGACTGAAGATGGAAAACATTGTTTTCCCCGTACTTGGGAGTATGGAGGGCAATGGAGGCCATGTAACCCGCTTCTGAGATCTTGAACGATCACACGCAAAGGAATGCAAGTTGCGCCGCTCGCGGGGATTCTCCATCATGAAGATTGAAAGGGGCTATCGTGTGTTCTGATTGTGCCTTCCGCGGGGACGCATCTATGCATCTTTGGCATTAGGGATGTAACGGGCATGGCCGGATCGATACCAACATGCCCGTTACATCGCTTGTATTAATCATTCTACGCTACGATACGCGAATGTGCCGGCATCCCGCCCCGTGACAAGGGACCCCCTTTGCTGATTTTCCTAATTCCTGTTATTGGTGCTCCAGAATACGAGGCTGAATTGAAATTTGGTGCCTTGGTGTACAGGTCTTCTGATTGTCTTCAGCTTTCGATATTCACCCAGGTCCGGGTCTGGTTTGTGTCCAGGCTCTTTGCCAGTGCAATCCTCGCCCCTGGGTTGAACCGTGGTTGAACCGAGGACCGTCTAACCCAAGGGGGGACGGAGATAAGAATAGCCGACACAGGGGTATAGGGGGGAGGGGTCGGTGAGGTGGTGAAAAAAAACTTTTGTGGGTCAAAAGTTTTTGCACCGGAAACAACCAGAAATTGGGACCTGAGCTTGCCAGGAGCACGGAACGGTCCTTCAGAGTGATTTACGGTCACTCAAGGTGCCGCGATCACCTTTCCGGTTGATTCCGACCCAAATCTGTCGGTTGCAGCTGTTGGGCAGAGGCATTGTCCCGATGGGTTTAGAGCCTGCTCTTCTTCCACGATGTTTTTGTGGCCGATACAGCGCCCCTCAACGAGGATAGTGCCAAAATCTGCCAAAATGCCCATATGGGATCCGCAGAACCGGTCGACAGATTGTGAGGGTCCCTTGGTTCCGGGGCAGAAGACTCGATCGGGACACGCACGTCGCCCTTATGAAACTGAGTCCGTTGTGATTGCCTCTCAGACCAGCGTTACACGAATGCATGGGTATGCCCAGCTTGTTCTACTTCAAAGTGTCGTAAGTATTAGTGTTGAATGTAGACTTGTAGTGCAATGCCTGTTCAATTCAACTTCAACATTTGTTCGCATCCTTGGTGAAATTTGAAATCAGACAGTTGATTTAACAATTCTATGCTGCCAAATTGATTAAATACATCGTACAATGCGCGCGCGCTCCCCTACCAATATAAGTGCTTCTCATGCGACACCCCATGTTTTATTGAAGACTTGGGCGGGGCGGCGGAAATTCCGTCGGCAATCAGACCTAAAAAGGCAATTTCCCACGGCAACAGGGGGGGAGGGTCCACCAACCTCCTGGAAAAAAACTTTTGTAGGTGATATCTTTTTTTCTAATCTTCGTTCCCCCTTGGTCTAACCGGTGTTGGTATCAGTGTTGGGCCACTGTTGGCATCGCTTCTGATCCGGCGATTGCCGTCTTTGCTTCTTCCCACCTCCATCCCAGCCAGAGATTCGGGGCAGCCTCTGCCCAATCGCACCGCACCGATGGGACATATCACGCACCTCCAGTGAAGTATTTGCAACTGACTCCAATTCTAATGCCTCGAACTAGTAAGTCGATAGCAAGTCCGGCTTATCTTTTGCTTCTCTCTTATTGAAGTTCTCTCCTTTTACGACTACAGATATTCCCCGCCAATGGCCGAACCAGCTTTCTTTAACTTCTGGCCTTGTGACGCCGCTTGGATAAAGGTCTGCTTATCTGCTTAGAAAGACCCCGAGCTCTCTACGCTTCTTCACCGCACATGACTCGGGATGTATACACTCCAAAGTTAGGTCGGCTTCCCACTCACCCCCATGGCGTCCCCCATCCACTGGCCTCAGGTATGCAGCTCGTGGTTGAACGTTTCGAGGACTCACTGCCGTTTCTGGTGCAGGTTGCTCTGGACGCCGTCGCAGAGCGTGACTCGCGCATCCTATCGTCCCTCCGACTGTCGCCGGCGGTCCTCGCAAACTACCCACCAGGCTCGGATGTGCGCCAGGCGGCCGAGCAGTCAGGTCTCTTGACCGCCGAAGAGTTAGACATCACCGCTCCCAGCATGGATGCGACAGCGGTGCGCTTCCACTTTTGACACATTTATTGTCTTTTTGATGTTGTCCAAGCTCTTGGAGCGTATCAAAGCAAGGAAACTCACCGCAGTGCAAGTAGTAACAGCATTTGCGAAGCGGGCAGCCATAGCCCATCAGCTGCTATCTTGTCTGACCGATTTTTTCCTTGACGAGGCTCTGGTGCGAGCGCGGGAGCTCGACGAGGCTTATGAGAAGACCGGCAAGCTCGTGGGCCCATTGCATGGTTAGCAAATTCATCCTTCGGATTACGTCGATTCTTATCTGGTTCTCTCCGTCAAGGGTTACCAATCAGCATCAAGGTAAGATTTTCTCACTGAATATTTTCGATGACTGAACCTGCGCTGCAGGATCATATGGATCTAGCCGGCCACAGATCAACTTCAGGGTTCTCGGGTGACACTCTGAACCCGCCTGCATCCAAGCACGGTAGCATCGCGCAGGTTTTATACGACGCTGGCGCAGGTACGGCACCACGAATGACTATGTCCCACAATTGATTTGACATCTCTCCAGTATTCTACTGCAAAACCAACGTCCCGCAGTCCTGCATGCATCTCGAAGCGCACTCTTTCTGGGGCCAAGTCGTGAATCCATACAACACCTCACTGACGGCGGGCGGCAGTTCAGGCGGGTGCTGCGCGCTCGTCGCATTCGGAGGGTCACCGCTCAGTATCGGCAGTGATATTGGAGGCAGCCTGCGCAGCCCTGCCGCTGCGTGTGGATTGTGGACGCTCAGTACGTTAGGTTGAAAGTTGGCTGATTTCGTGGGTTAACAGAGCGTTAACAGAGCCGACGACGCTACGTATCCCACGGGGCGCAGGATCGGGCCCTGTGCCTGGTGCGAATTCCATCGTCGAGGCCTTCGGACCCTTATGTCGAAGGTGAGTCTGATTTCACACTACGTATCCATTCTCGGTGTAACTTATTTTCCTGTCCAGCCTCCGCGACGTCGATATGTGGTTCTCGGTCGTCATCGGTTCCAAGCCGTGGCTGCACGAGTACGATCTCGTGCCGCTCCCATGGCGCATCTCTACCCCTACCAACTGGTCAGGCTCGAATGGCCGAATGCGCCTCGGCGTGATGTGGCACGACGGGGTTGTGCAGCCCTTGCCCCCTATTCGCCGTGCCCTGAAGAAGCTCGTCGATGCCTTGACAAAGGTGCCGGACATTGAGGTCGTGGAGTATGTGCCGTTCAAGCATTTCGAGGCGTCGGAGTTGGCGGTACGTGGTAATTTCTTTGAAATCCAGGCCATGGGTTGACGTGATTGTGTGTAGCATGAACTCTATTTTGTCGATGGCGGCGCGACTGTGCGCGAAAGAGCAGCTGTTACCGGAGAGCCGATCCTCCCTCTGACGGAGTGGGTCATTACCCATCCAACCGTTAAGGACCACAACATGCACGAGCTCTGGGACGTAAGTACTTCTCTCCCTTTTTGCGGGTCTCGATGGGATAATCGATTGTTCAAGTTGAATTTACGACGCGAGGCTCTGCGCGCAGAGTATCTCCAGCACTTCAACTTACAGAACGTCGACGTTGTTCTGTGTCCGGTAGGCCCCGGCCCCGCTCCGCTCCTGGGCACGTCGAAATATTGGGGGTACTGTCAATTTCTCCTCGTCGTCGAGAATAGAAAGTTTAATTATGGTCCAGGTACACGAACGTGTGGAACTTCGTCGACTACCCCGCTGCGGTGTTTCCAACCGGCTTGCACGTTGACCCAGCCCGTGATGTCAAGGATGATTCCGTCCCTCGGACCTGGATGAGCGACGCGGATGAGGAAATCTTGGCGGCGTGTAAGTCTTGTTCGGAAAGAAAAGCCATGCATTGAAATTTGAATTTGATGTAGACGAACCAACGGCCTTTGCGGGAGCGCCGCTGTGCCTGCAGCTTGTGGGGCGGCGATTTGCGGAGGAGGAGGTGGTTCAGGCTTTGCGTGGAATCTCGCAAGTGTTACCATTGGCGTAACTATTTTAGGTGGTAACTGTTTGTGGTCCGTACGTACTTGTATGCGATTGAAATATGAATGTCCAATCCAGTTTTTCTTTCTTTTAACTAGAGGGAAGTGGGAACCACATACTGTCAGCCCATCGTATCTATGTCTCCTGCTGCGCCCATGCGTCAGGTTGCGTAGTGTAGCGGTTATCACTCCAGATTCTGATTATTGAACACTGTCTAAATTATTCTGGCAACCCCGGTTCGATTCCGGGCGCGACCTTGGCCAACTTATTTTTTTTCTTCACACCTTCCCTGCGCCAGTTCAGGTTACGTGATCTTCTTTGTTTGCCCGGAACTTGTCTGCTGCTCAACAAAGGTTTATGACTCGATCAGCTGGGTTGTTACCTGCCATGTGGCTGTGATGTTACCTGCCATTTTGCGTTTTCGCTCCCTTCCCGCTATGATTATTTCCTACAAATATTCAGAGAACCTCTAAAATGAATTTAGATTGATCCTACGTCTTCAGAATGTCGAAAATGAACCTGAATGTAGCAAAAGCCTTAGCAGTCGATGGCAGCTAACTGTGACGTCACACTGTTAGCCGCCATCTTTCTTTCCTCGAGCACGATCGTCTCGCTACACTCGTTTGCACCACAAATCCACGTCGAACCCTCGATTCATGCAGCCAAGATTACCCTGGCAAGTTGAGACTTCAAGCAAACCCACCAAATCCGCTCCTTCATGCTTCAAAATGGCCCTCACTTCGACTTCGATATTGCGCGCGGATCGCTCAAAAACCGGTGTATTCAAGCTCATGGGCGGCGGCCTTGCTGTCTATCTTCCATATCGACGCCCTCTGCAACCGTTTTTTCCCCCTGCCGCCACCTCGATGTCCGCTTGACCTTGCCAGCGGGCCGACTCAAGGCTTCGAAAATGGAGAGGTGGAATAAAAGTTGCCTAGGGATCTTGTGGCATTCCGTGGAAGGCGCGTATTTCAGGCCTTTCCGTCAATTCTGGATGCTGATGCATTGATGTGCTTTCGTCGTCGTGGATCGTATCTATGCGTGCATCAGGCTCAGCCACTGTGCTTTCCCATTGCGTCTCAAACCCAGGAGATCACGAAAAACACGTCTGCGTGGGCCCGCCCAGCACCCGGTCATTGCGCCTCCCGAGTCGACACTTTTTTTTGGCCGGATTCTTCACACAATGCGGCTTTTGCACGCAAGTCCCCACCTCCGACCATCGTCTTCTTTGTGCAGGTCCCGCACCTTGACAAGGAGCTCTATGCCGTGGTACACGTCGAAACGTCGGGTCATACCCACGACTTTTTGACCAGGCGATCGGCAAATCGACGTCCCGAGCTACTGCTTTGCAGTAGCGTTGTAGGCCCACACCATTCAAGCACTTCCAGCTTCATTTGGTCTTTGCCTCCTCGATGTTGCCTACCTGCTGCACATGCGCTTACTTACCCTTGTACTTAGCCTTGTATATGATTTCGGTTTGAAAGAATTGTGATTTGGCGTCCATTTGAATGAATTACGGGCTTGCAAAATTTCCTTGAATTGCCCTGAACACTCCTTGAATTGTCCTGAACCCTCCCGTTCTCCTTCCTTTTTCGAATTCATTTTCGCGTTTTCCCGTCACGGGACCCAGTACATTGAAATAAAAACCTCAACAAATGGCTCCAAACCTAGATCTGTTGATGGACCTGCACTGCCTTGCCAATCTTTCATCTGACCACGTCCACGACGATGCGCAGGAGTCCAGGACGCTTGCTGGCTGCGGCTTAGAGCCTCAGTTGCTGGCGTGTTTCGTTCCCACACGCCGTTGCTAAGCTGACTCTCTTGAGCGCATCACAACGATTCTTCGATTCTTGATGTCCGTAACTCATCGGGGCGACTGCGTCCGCAGTCCCAAATCGGATACGTTTGTGGGGGACAGCTTTACTCGAGGAGTATAAAAGGTGAGCGTCTTACGCGTTAGTGTGGACCAAACCATCTATTCCCCTTCTTTTTCTCCCTTCTTACAATGGGTCATCAACTTTTCCTTCTGTACCCGCTTTTTGTTTTCCTCGCCAGTTCTACCGCCGCCGTCATTCCAAGGGCAGACCGCACCAATCAAACGATCCGATGGGTAGACTGTCACAACAAGGTGCCGGACGGGCTTCAATCTGCCCTGAACGTCACCGGGACTACCTTCACTGGGACCATCCCTACCGGGTTATTCTGCGGTGAGATGGATGTCCCGATGGACTATACCAAACCGTTCGACGCGACCACCAACAACATCACCATTGGTTTCGCGATGAATCGGCCCGCGGGGCAGTCTTCTGGCCTCATATTCCAGTTCGTTTCCATTGATACGCCCTCTCTCGACTGACCAATAATTTTCCTGGTAGCCATGCTGGTACGCTGTTTTTCAATCGGAGAACTACAATTTTAGTGCTCATTTGCGGCGTTGCAGGCGGTCCTGGACTCAATGCCATCACCCAAGCGTGGCAGAATGCATTTAATCTCTCCACGGCTTTCGAAGGGTTAGAGGATTTTGACTTTCTGGGTGAGTCTCTCCGTATACGTCGAGAGCCCGGCTGAATCTAGCATCCAGCTATCAACACCCGCGGCATTCAGTTCTCGAACCCTCTCAATCTGTCGTCTGGTGTATTCTTCAACGACGTGCCTTTCGCCTTGTGAGTCTTGTCGTGTTTTCATATACCTCACTGCTAACAACCCTCACAGCCCAACATCGCAGGCCGAGTTTGACCAGTACCAAGCTGCCATGAAGAACTTTGTTTCGGCAGCGATTAACGACAGCACTCCAGCGGGGATCATGGAACACGTCGGGACAGTCGAAGTCATCCAGGACTGGGACGCCGTTCGGGCTGCACTGGGGTACGAAAAGGTTAGCTTTGCGGGTCCCTCATAGTACGTTTTCTCTTCTCCAATACTCTCTGCGTTAACTCAACTACCCTCATCAGCGGAACGTTTGTGTCCCTTTCCTACGCGACGCGCTATCCCGACCGTGTCGGGCAGTTCGTTTTGGACGCGGCTATTCCGCACGGTATGGTATGAACGCATTCACTTGGATCGCACCCACAGTTCGCTGATGCCTGAAACAAACAGCCGTTCCAGGACATGGTGACATTCCAAGTTGGCGCCGCGGACCGGCTAGTCCAGCGCGCGGATGTCTTCTGCCTCACCGATCCGGCATGTCCGTTTTATGGGCAGGGCAACGGCAGCGTCGTGAAGGTGTGCCCATACCGGCTTCACATAATGATGTTTGTGTTGACACCGTATCATCGTAGGCCTGGCAAACTATCCTCGCGCAAGCCGTCAAGGAACCGCTCGCTGCCCCGAGCTGCGGGCCCGGGACAAACTGCATCGCACCGGTTACTGCACGCGACCTGCAGCAGGGCGTCCCCGTGCTTTTGCGCGCCAACCCCGACTTCCCGCTGTTCAACAAGGCACTGAACGCGTCCCTCAACGGCGATGCGAGCCTATTCGCGTTTCAGCCCGCGTTCGACATCCGCGAGAGCGTGGTGACTCCCCTTCTGTGTTCGGATTTCAGTAAGTCCCTTTCACAGTATCTCACACGGATATTGAATTCGAACGTATGAAGAATTGGACGACGACATCAAGACGTTCGCGGGATTCAATAATCTTAGCGTGAATTCACAGAGCGTGAGTTCTATCCATATTTCCTCATGCACACAGTCTCAAACATGCTGCACACAGAGCGACCCCTTGGATATCGTGTACTCGCAGATCTGGCAGATGCTACTCCAGTGCACCGTCTGGCCGTTCCCCGTCCCGGAGCACACGACCCTGCCCACGGACCTTCCCATTATGTGGATGACGTCCGACTTTGACTTGAAGTGCGCATTCATGCGATATACTCTTCGCTATGGTTGAAGCTGACCGTGTATGAATAGCCTGCCGACGGAATTGACGACCTTTGCGTGGCAGCAAGCGCCGAATTCTACCTTGGTCATCCGCCACGGGGATGACCATACCAGTCTCTACAGTGTGTTTTCCTCTTCCTTCCCCTCCACCAGCATTTATTTACCTCTACAACAGACACTCCGCCTGCCGCAGTCGCCGGTGACCTCGCGCGCACCTTCCTCCGCACGGGCGTGATGCCCAGCCCACAGTCCAACGCGCAAGTCACTGTTCTCGGGCCAGAGGCAGCAGGGGTGCGCGGGCCGGTTCCTGGTGCGTACGACGTGCCGACTGGGGCTGTCGCGGGCGATGAGAGCAGCGTGGAGGACATCACAGCGTAAATAACGCCAGGCGTAAGCCTGGGTTCCTTTCCTTCTCTCGTATTTATATGCTTTCAATTCGCTCTACCCTCCTTACTTCTATGTTCTTCTTCCGTGGATAGTACCGAATATTTGGGCAATGACCATCACCATCGGGGCATACATTCTTTGATAACAGCCGGTGAACCCAGCAACACATGGAGGAAAACAACCCCTGGACGTGTAGAATGTTTTGGTTCTGCCTTCAAGTACGGTATGGACGCTGGCTACCCTTGGGCTGCCAAACCGCGGGAAAATCAGCAGTGATGTGACTGTGATATCAGGGTGACACGTCGGAGTTTGAAACTCCTTCTCGTTCCCCACCATCATCCTCGGACGACATTTTCCTTGCATTTTCCTCGCATACTACGGCCCGACTCTGTGCTTAACCCTATGGATACTGAAGCGGATCTCGTCCGAGCCAACCAGCTGTGGTTCGAGGACGGTGGGATTATCGTCAAAGCGGAGACGACGCTCTTTCGCCTCTCGCGTGGTGTCCTCATTATCCAATCCCCCATTTTCGCCGACCTCTTCAGCCTGCCCCAGCCCCGGGATGCGGAAACGATGGACGGGTGTGCAGTGGTGAATATCCCCGATGCCGCAGCGGATGCCACCGTTTTTTTTCGAGCAATTTTCGACTCGTCGTACGTCGCAACAACGGCAAATCATCCATGGTACTCAGAATGATCCCACAGATTTTTCGAGGCCTACCCCGCTTCCACTACTCCCGAAGTTTTGGCGGGAGTCCTGCGTTTAAGCAGCAAGTACGAGGTCGAACACCTTCGGCGCCGCGCACTAGTACATCTCTCATCCCAGTTCCCCACGAAACTCGAAGACTGGGATCGCTTTGAACACGAAGAGGCGGAATCTGATGACCTCCCCCCTCTGATCGAGTTGGCTCGCCAAAGTCGAGCTCCCTGGATCTTGCCTACTGTGTTTTATCTATTGGGTTCTGAAGTTTCCCATCACCTTCCCACTGTTCTACA